AAGTCACTTAGGAGGGTCTGGAAACTTGGGCTGAAGTCGACTGTATTTATCACAGATATTCCCAAGCCAGGAATGCAGCTGGGGCAGCCATCACAGCATCCTCTGGCTTCCCACTAGCCCTGGCCCACCGTGCAGCTCAGGGAAGCTTCTCGGACTGACGCTGCGCTTCCTCTCCTTCTACAGCAGAGGTCACTGTGTCCCAGTGGTGTGACCTGGCAGTAGGCCAGGGATGCTGAGACAAGAGAGTGGATGGGATTTGAGAAATCACTGCTGATGGCTTTCAGAGGGAACTGCTCAAGGCCCTGAGAGATCCCCCAGCAGTTTTCATCAGAGCGGCGGGGTTAGCTTTGTTTTTTCCTCCCCTTCCCCATCGGAAAGCCCTGCTCCAGGAATTGCAGGCTACCTCCCAAAAGTCTCAATTGGATACAGGGTTCTTATTCATGGCCTTCTTTAAACTGTTGCTGTGCAGTGTTAAACAGCTTCCACGTTCCACCCCAGAAGTGACTGCATTGCATCAGTCGGTGAAGTGATTCCTCTGGCCAAATAATCAGTGTGTGAGTCCAGTGGTCCCGCTGTGTTTCAAGATCTGCTTTATTCTGCATTGGGCTCCAACAGGCAGCCTCTGGTGCATGACAACAAGCGTTTCCAGCACCCCGCCCAGACTCTCTGCTTGGGGAGCTCAGCCCTTAAAGGCATGACCTCCCCTCCCCCCCTGTATTAACAAAATATTTGTTATAATTAACAAATATTTTGTTAATACAAATTGCAAGTTTGCTTTGGGGCTATTCCTCGTGCCACACAGAGATGCACTTTAATACTACGACATTTAGGCACTTCAGCAAAACCAAAGGTATTTGTTATTCACACGTGTTCAGAACACCACGGGTTTGTTCATGAAACCTGCAAGTTTCACAGGTTTTAGCTTGAATGATGAGTCATCTGGAAACTCGTACTGGAAAGTTTTTTGTCTCCCATTATTTGCTGTTTTCCATTTGTTCGTCTCGTGTTTAAAACGTTGCAGACATCCGCTCGGGGAGCACTAGCAATACCATGTGATTTAGGTGACCAGTCACAGACCACGAAGAGCGAGCCGTGGCCAGGACCCGCTGGCAAGTAATCCATTGTTTGCCATTGGTGTGCGTAAGCTCAGTGCCAGCTATTTATGAGTAGAAGTCGGTACTGGGGCATGGACAAGTTGTGAACAGAAAGAAGGGCCAAATGAATCCGAACCTATTTCCAGCAACTCATGCGTCCAGCTCAGCTTGTGTGTCTAGTTTATAAAGGTCTTTGGTGGGACTCTGCAAGAGGAGGCTGCTGTCTTGAATTACCTGACCTCAGCTGAGAGAGACACATGGCAGAATGCGACAGAGAGTCCTGTGGCACCTTATAGACTAACAGACGTGTTGGAGCATAAGCTTTCGTGGCCCACTTCGTCAGACGCATGTGGTGGAAATTTCCAGGGACAGGTATAAATATGCAGGCACGAATCAGTCTAGAGATAACGAGGTTAGTTCAATCAGGGAGGGTGAGGTACTCTGCTAGCAGTTGAGGTGTGAACACCAAGGGAGGTGTTGGCTAGCCATTCACAGTCTTTGTTTAATCCTGAGCTGATGGTGTCAAATTTGCAAATGAACTGAAGCTCATTTGCAAAGACTGATTCTTGCCTGCATCTTTATACCTGCCTCTGGAAATTTCCATTACGTGCATCTGACGAAGTGGGTATTCATTCACCCACAAAAACTTATGCTCCAATACATCGGTTAGTCTATAAGGTGCCACAGGACTCTTTGTTGCTTTTTACAGATCCAGACTAACACGGCTACCCCTCTGATATCTGACATGGCCGAATGTAACGATTGCCCCTTGACATAAGGTGAGGTTCGAGATTGCACAGCACCTCACTTCTAGCCAGTCCCAGGGAGTAACGCAGCTGCGTTAGCAACTCAGCCACTGCACCGCCCCCGCTCTCTGCAGGAGTCACTACAGAGCTGTGGTTCTCAACCTATTTACCACTGTGGGCTGCATGTGGCCCACAATGTGTTCTGTGGGTCGCATCCAATACTACCTCTATGGCCCTGAGGATGTCACATGGGCTGCAAGTGGCCCGTGGGCCGCAGGTTGAGAACCACTGAGACTGCCAGAGAAGACCGTGATTGCGGAAGTGTGGTGCTGACTGAATCCCTTTGCATCGCGCAGTATGTTAGTTGACATGTATGCACCATGTCAAGGCTGTATCCCCACTTTGAACCTTAGGGTACAAATGTAGGGGCCTGCATAAAAACTTCTAAGCTTATCTACCAGCTTAGCTTTGGTCCGCTGCCACCATCACAAGAATTCCCTCCCTGGGAAGCCTTGAGAAACCTTTCACCAATTCCCTGGTGAACACAGATCCAAACCCCCTTGGATCTTAAAACAAGGAGAAATTAACCATCCCCCCTCCTTCCTCCCACCCTCCTTTCACCAACTCCTGGTGAATACAGATCCAAACCCCCTTGGATCTTAAAACATCCGAAGAAGTGGGTTGTAGCCCACGAAAGCTTATGCTCTAATAAATTTGTTAGTCTCTAAGGTGCCACAAGTACTCCTGTTCTTTTTGCGGATACAGACTAACACGGCTGCTACTCTGAAATATGTTAGTTGTGGCTCTGCCAGGCTCCAGGTCAGTCAGGGGTTGGGTGAGGGCGCGTAGCTGTCTGTGTGGTTATATTTCCCCATAAGCTTTTTTAGGGTCAAGAAGCCATTTCTAGGACTAAAGCCCTGGTAGTGCAGTTCCTAGCTGGTGGAAAGAGCGTGAGGAAACCAGCTCTCCAGCCATTTCACCCCCACAAATTGCTCCCTACGAGTGAAACAAAAAGATCCTGGAGTTTGTGTGTTTCCCCCACAGGGTATCCGCATTCCTGCACAATCCAAAGCCACAGCCCCCGTGACGGAGATCGACCCCTACAACAGATACAGGGGTTGTGACAAAGTGGGAACTTTCTTAATGTTTTGCATGGAATATGGCGTGTGCCTCAGTTTCATAGAATCATAGACTCATAGAATATCAGGTTGGAAGAGACCTCAGGAGGTATCTAAGTCCAACCCCCTGCTCAAAGCAGGACCAATTCCCAACTAAATCATCCCAGCCAGGGCTTTGTCAAGCCTGACCTTAATCATCCCCACCGCTTCCCCGGGGCTCCCGCGGCTATGTAAGGGGCCGGGGCGGTAGAAGCAGGGGAGCCCTGGGCCCTTTAAATAGACCCCAGAGCCCTGGGGTAGCGGGGGGCTCCGGCAGCTATTTAAAGGGCCAGGGCGGTAGAAGCAGGGGAGCCCCTGCCCTGCCCACAGCCAGCCCCTGCTGCACCCCCTGCCCGCATCAGCCCTGCGCCCCTGCCCGCAGCCAGCCCCTGCTGCACCCCCTGCCCGCACCAGCCCTGCACCCCTGCCCTGCCCGCAGCCAGCCCCTGCTGCACC